AGGGTTTAGGGTTTGTTTAGGGCTTGGGACTTAGGCTTAAGGAATAGACGGCTTAAGGAAATAGACGGCCAAGCGTCGAGGCCTCATTTGATGGGAAAGCCTTTTCTTCTCGCCAAACGAGCACTAAGAGCTCAAAACTCTGCTGCCCTAAGAAGGAACGCGAGCAAAAATCGTAGATCTCAGAAAGGGAAGTCACCACCCCAAAAGCAAGAAACAACTACAAGGTCACTGACGAGCCGTATGTTTTCACTCAGAGACTTCGGGGCTGCGTACCCTAGCCCAAAAAAGGTTAACCTTTCAATTATGGTAGAATTATATAAGCCCAAAAAGGTTAAAGGTTGTCTACCACCCTAAACCCTAAACCCTAAACCCTAAACCCTAAACCCAAGTACTAAGAAGAGCACTAAGAGCTCGGCAGCATGCTCCGCGGCACTGGGCTTCAGCCCCAGGCGGTCGATGCAAGCGCGAGCGGCCGCTGGAGGCAGGTACTTCTCCTCTTGGGGTTTGGGTCTAAGGCTTCAAGGTTTTAAGGTTTAGGGTTTAGGGTTTAGGGTTTAGGGTTTAAGGTTTAAGGCTTCAAGGTTTTAGGGCTTGGAGTCCAGAGTTCTGCACTTAGGGTCCAACATGGTCCAACTAAAAAAAAAAAAAAACAATTTTTAGGACCTTAAAACAGCCCCACATCACCTTCAATGCTACCCTACCAACCAAAAAGTCGGCTCTAGTTGGTCCAGGAAGAGCCTAAACCCCAAACCCTCAAACTCCAAACCCTAAACTCCCTAAACCCTAAACCACAAAACCTCGAAGCCCTAAAACCCTAAGACCCTAAAACCTTAAAACTTAAAACCATAAACCCGTAAACCCTTGGTATACAATGATAACCAGCTGCCCCTCCAAGCAGAGGATAGGCGAGGAATCCTTGGCAGACTCCCCTTCTAAAACCCTTGTAGTACTGTTGATGATCTAAATCCTGCATCACCTTAAGGACCCTAAACTATGGGAAATATGGTATATTCCTTTTTATGGGCAATGGAGGATTTATATCTTCAACCGTAGTTCCCTGCAAGGAACCCTCACAAGAACCTTTATCGTACCCAAAAAGAGCCCTTAGAGGGCAGACAATGTGAAGGGCCCTTAACAGGACCGGTTTCAAAAGGTCCTTTAAAGGGCTCCTTTTTGAAGGGTCCGTTAAAAAGCCCTTTTTAAGGAGCCCTGCAAAAGGCTCCTTTGAGGACTCTTCAGGGTACGATAAGGGTTCTTGTAAAGGTTCTTTTAAGGGTACTATCTGTAAAGGAACCATCGAAATCCGAGACGTCCTTGGCAGACTCCATGCGACGAGCGAGCTCGGCGAGAAACGGCCCGAGCCTTGCCTTGGACTTGACTAGCACAGGCGCCTTGATGAGTAGTACAGAGTTCAGGGGCTTAGGGGTTTAGGGTTTAGGGGTTTAGGGGTTCAGGGGTTCAGGGGTTCAGGGGTTCAGGGGTTTAGCATTTAGGGGTAAGGGGTTTAGGGTTTAGCAAAAGGCCGTAGTAATAAGGAGAATGGCTCCTTAAAAGGATTCTTGTGTAAGCGGTCAAACAGGGTTGCTATAAGGGCCTAGTATGGGGCCCTTAATAATCAACACAGGTTTTCGGGGTACATTGTAGTACAAAGCCTTGCCTTAAATTGTATACTATAGAATGGAGAAATTGTGGGCTTTAAGGTTTCGGGTTTAGGGTTTCGGATTCAGGGTTTCGGAGTTAGGATTTAAGGTTTGGGATTTAAGCTTTAGACCGAAAACTTGGTGTTTAGGGCCTTTTGTCGGTCTGCTAACCCATAGTGAAGTTTAGGGTTTAGGGTTTAGGGTTTAAGACTTTAGCTTTCGGGGTGATAAAGGACACGTGCATGCTCTTTGGGGTTTGGACGTCTTACGCGAAAATCAAAGCTTAAGCCCCAAAGCCCGTACGCCCTAACCCTAAACCCTAAACCCTAAACCCTAAACCCTGAACCCCAATCCCTTAACCCTAATCCCCCCAAAAAGGAAGCCCAGTTGCAATGTCGAAGCCGTTTGCTGTGGTGCCCAGAAGCAGCCTGCTCCCAAAGCTCTCCTCGGTTTAGGGTTTAAGATTTTTGTTGCTTAGGGTTTACGGTTTAGGGTTTAGGGTTTAGGGATTTAGGTTTAGGTTAGGGATCAGGGATTAGGGATTAGCTCGCAGAGCTCTCCTGCATCATTTCGCCATTGTGCTGCTGCTCGTGCTGCTTGTTCAGCGGGATGACCACTCCCAGGGGTGCTTGAAAAGTGTAAAGCATATCCGCAAGTTCACCGCAGGCTCCCGCACCAGCAGTGACGATGCCGTGTCCTTGCGCCAGCTGACAGATTCGCATGACGTTGCTGCGGCCCTTCAATTCAGCCGGTGCACTCAGGCGGCTGTGCTTGTGCCAGCCCCGGCCGCAGCCGACAATGAGCGTCCCGGGATGCTCCTGAACGTGTCGAAAATAGTGCTCAAGAATGGAGCGCCCGCTCAAATGCGCATAAATGTAGATAATGTGCTGGATGGTGTCCTCGGAGGCACCGTCGGCATGGACAATGCCCTCGTGTGCCTGGCCTGCCTCTTCACTGGTGATGCGGCGGCCATGCTCTAGTAGGAACTTCACGGCCAACTTGCGATCGGCAGCGAAGGAATAGGCCTCTAAATCTGCACGATTCAAGCGGCGGAAGGCAGGATCCACAATGTCGACATGTGCCACTCTTAGGCCGTCTCTTCCCATGTTGAGCACCTTGACCAAGAATGTGCTCCGAATCAGCTTCCCCAATGTCGCCAGCTCGGCGTCTCTGAAGAGATCTGGGTGCATCTTGTACCAGTATATCTCGGAGACCTTCTCAAAGTGGCCCCTGTACGCAAGGATATCGTCTCGTTCGCGGATGCCAAAAGAGTGAAGCAGCAAGTCCTGATGGTTTTCGTAGTCTAAGCCATGCAACCGGGGTGGTCCCTGGGCTGCGTTCCGCATCTCTGCTCTGAGCTTCAAGGTTGCAGAGGTGAGGTTGGGGTCCATGTCCGTGATGACCACGATGTTCGCGTCCGCCGCTGTCTCAGCGAGCCTCCACTCCCCTCAGAGGTTCTAAGGCTCCCTTTAAGGGCTTTAAGATGGTTTAAGGGATCCTACAGAGGTTAAGGGTTTAGGGTTTAGGGTGTAGGGTTTCCGGTGGATCATTGTGCACAGGAGCAGACGCTAGCCAACCTATCCCAAGTACAGTCAAGGAGCAGCACATCCATCAAAGAGCGTGCTGTAGGGAGGAGGCTGGGGCCAAGGTCATCCCATGAAAACGATGCCTGCGAGTCAAAGAGGACAAAGCCGCGGTCGCAAAGTAACCTCAAGCGCACGAAATCCTCAAACCCTAAACCCTAAACCCTAAACCCTGAACCCTAAATTATCCTAAACCCTAAACCCCTAACCTAAACCCCTAAACCCAAAACCCCTAAACCCTAAACCCTGAACAAAAAAAACCTACACCCTGAACTCGGATCCTTCCACGCTTTTTAGTTTAGGGTTTAGCGTTTGGGGTTTAGGGTTTAGGGTTTGGGCTTTAGGGTTTGGGGTTTAGGGTTTGGGGTTTAGGGTTTAGGGTTTGTTTGCAGTGTGCGTGCGGTGGGTGCGCCGTTTACTTTTGGAATAAGGGGGCACCCAATTATCGCGCGCTTGCGTCAGCATGCAGTCCCGCTTGAACCACCCCAACTATTCTCAATTAGGGTTTAGAGTTTAGGGTTCACCCCGAAACCCCCTCAAGGGGGGCTTTCTTGCTCTCTGCTTCCCCTCGCAGCTCTGCAGGTTTCACAGCAAAACGGAGCTGAGATGGATTACTGTCGGGTTGTGGGTCCTCGCGGCCTGTGCCGGCCGCTCGACGAGAAGCAAGGGTTCCCAATAAACACTTCGCCTCTCGCACCCTGTCGAAGGCCCGGGTCCCTAAAACCTGGAGCACCGGGACCTGCTGCAAAACGGATGGGCGGAAATCGCCTCGGACCCACCCAGATCTCTGCCAGCCTGGCGTCCTAGACCCTGCTTGGGGGAATTCCCCCAGAACTGCAAAACGGGCAAGGCAGGTGTTGGGAGGTAGCGGGGTCGAGAAGGCCCGGGTCCCTGCAATCTGCCAGCCTGGGGCCCAGACCCCCCTGGGGGACCCTGCCAGGACAGACCCAAAAAAGCACGTCCCTCCCAATGGTTGTGGGTTTGGGGTCCTTCTTTGTTGCCTAACGGCAAGAGGTCTATAGCGGGCTGGGTCACTACAGGCCTTGTATACCGGGAGGCTTTACCCTCCCTCACCGTTCTGACGAGACGCTCGGGGGCCTCGGTCGGAGCCTCGAGCGCCCATGCAAATGGTCAGCGGCGCTCTCGGCTGTTTTGGGTTTGGGGTTTAGGGTTTGGGGTTTAGGGTTTAGGGTTTGGGGTTTAGGGTTTAGGGGTTTAGGGTTTGGGGTTTGAGGGTTAGGGTTTAGCGTTAGGGGTTTAGCTTACGTACACCACCAACTCCACCAAAAACATACATGGCCCTTCAAGGAGGGCTTGAAGGCCCCTTAGCTTTCCAGATCCTTTATATATGCCAGGCCAAGCTGCCGTTTGGCCCCTAAACCCGAAACCCTAAACCCTCAACCCTCAACCCTAAACCCCAAACCCTAAACCCTCAACCCTAAACCCCAAACCCTCAACCCTCAACCCTGAGCCAAGCTGCCGCTTGGCTTCCTCACCTCGGTAGACCTCCGGCCGTGCCACGACCATCTCCCACATCCTAAGATCCCCTCTGAGGCTTCCTTTTAAGGGATGAATTTGAAGCGCTCCTTTAAATTTAGGTTCCTTTTGAGAACCTTGCTGGGGGTTTCGGATTTGAGGCTTAGGATTTCGAATTCTGGGCTCTGGGTTTAGTAATGAAGATCTTTTATCTCGTCCTTAGTACTCAATCGTAAACAGTGCCATCAAAAAAGAACAAAGACGGAAATAGGACACTGCTTAGGAGCCTAGCATCAGCTCCTTTGCGGCCGCACCTGCCTGCGTGGTGTAGAAGCCGGTGACGCTCTTCAGGGCACGCACGAAGATCAGCCGACAGCGTCGTTTCAAGAGCGGTGACAGCTTGGCCAAGATGCTCTGCGTGTGATCGACCTTCTGCCGCTTCTCTTGCGGCACGCTGCCATCTGCAAGCATCTCACCTTTCCAGGGCTCCGGCATGGAAACCAATAAAGTCACACGCTCCAGGTCCTCCTCGCCACAGAGATGTCCCGTGAGCACCGCCGTGAGGCGCTCATGGCCACCACCGGTGGTCGAAAAACCCAGCACAAAGAGGCGTTGAGTGCCCTGCAAAATGGATCTTACTGAGGCCTGTGGGCAGCTCGCCGACATTGCCATCGAAGCAGGCTAAACCGTAAACCTTACACAACAAACCCCTTAAACCCTAAAAGCCCTTTAAACCCCTAATAAACCCCTAAACCCCTAGCTGTCCCAAACGGGGATCCTTTTTGGAAGCGCGGGGATCAGGATTGGACTTCCAGGGCCGGGTCGGAAGAACCACGGTTTAGGGATTAGGGTTTAGGGGTTAATGATGTAAATCCTGCATCATCCATAATAAGGAATAGACCATACTTCCCATAGCTTAGGGCCCTCAAGATAATGCAGGATTTAACATCAACAGTAATCGGGGCTGTGACGCCTATGACTCTAAACCCTAAACCCTAAACCCTAAGCCCTAAAACCCTAAACCCTAAAACCCTAAACCCTAAACCCTAAAACCCTAAACCCTAAACCCTAAACCCTAACTACGCACTACGTCCCCCGACTCTGCAAGTAGGAGCCTCCCGACAGTGCTGTCGCCCGGCTGCGCACGGGTTAGGGTTTAGGGCCTTTAGGCCTTTAGGGTTTAGGGCCTTTAGGGCTTTTAGGGCTTAGGGCCTTTGGGGTTTAGGGTTTAGGGCTTAGGGCCTTTAGGGTACGGGTTTAGGGCTTAGGGCTTAGGGTTTAGGGCTTAGGGCCCCATGGGCTTGGGGCTTAGGGCCCGGGCTAGTTGGGCTTGGGTGTGGAGTCCCTACACCCTAAACCCCAATCCTCCGAACCCCTAAACCAAGAAACTCCGAAAGGAAAACATTAACCCTTTTAGGGTTTAGGGCTTAGGGTTCAGGGCTTAGGGCTTAGGAACCTTCCAAAAATTAAATCTATTGCAGATCTCGAAGGAATACTTAGAGGATCGGGGGACTTAGGAAGTGCTAAAGCTCGTGAAGGAGGCCTAAACCCTAGACCCCAAACCTTAAACCCCAAACCCTAGACCCTAAACCCTAAACCCTAAACCCTAAGCCTTAAACCCTAGACCCTAGACCCTAAACCCTAAACCTCAAACCCTAAACCCTAAACCTTAAACCCTAG